TTATTTTCCCCAGATTTACGTACGCCAGACTCCATCACCTCGCATGGCCAAACACCGCCGTACGACCCCGGCGCTTACACGTGTCGGCCTCTCGTGGGAAAAGCAAGTGGAGTTAAAAACGAAAATTGGAAAAGAATCCCCCAAGGAAAATTAAACATCAACCTCAAAATAAAAATAAAAAACCTAACTCTTCGTCGCTACTCCGGTCGGATGTTAATGAGCTGAGCTGAGCCGAGTCGAGTTTTATCATGTTCATGTTCGGCTCGTTTATAAACGATCCGAGTCGAGTCGAATACGAGCCAGCTTATTTATTAAATCTTAACACATCATTATGATCGAAAGTTTGGTTCGAGCTCAACTCTAAGATAATTTATAATATAAACACCCTAATATTTATATGTCATATGTAATACAAGTGATTACCTAATGTTATGTCATATATGAGACGTATTTGCTTATATGTACTCAATGTATTAAACACCATATGAGGTGATATATAAAATTTAATAATTATATGCATCATTAACAAACCAACTCATAAAATATAGATTGATCTTCTCATAAGCTGCAATCGAGTTGGCTCTCTAGTCACAATGTTGGGACATCTCATGAGCTCAAAACGAGACAGTTCATGAGTTGTATTAAACGAGCCACCTAATCGAGCTAGTTCACGAGCTTCACGAGCCGAACAAGGTAGAGCTCAAGCTTGGCTCGTTTATTAACGAGTCGAGTTTTTTTTAATCGAACGAGCTTTTATCGAATTCGAGACCGAGCCGCTCACGAATAGCTCGGCTCATTAACAGCCCTAGCTCCATGTAGTGTCTTATATAGCATTGCTACTTTTTTTTTAATATCACATTTGGTTACTGGGATTATTAAACCGTGTTATGTTTAGTCACTAGAAAAAATTAATATCAATTTTGGTCACTCGAATTACTAAAACATGTCACATTTAGTTACTCTCCCATTAGCCTCCGTCCAACTCTGCTCCCTCGAATTACTTTTTTTTTTATGAATGTCACTCGAATTACTAAAACTTGTTACATTTAGTCACTCTGCGTTAGCCTCCGTCCAATTATGTTAATGGAATTGGATGGAAACTTACGGGAGAGTGACTAACTGTGATATGTTTTAGTAATTCGAGTGACCAAAATTGATATTAATTTTTTCTTGTGACTAAACATGAGATGATTTAGTAATCTCAGTGACCAAATGTGGCACCCTTTAATTCTTACAAAAACATCTTGTTTTTATCATATGAGCAAATTATTGGTACTTAGAGGTGGCAAGTGAGATCCATATTAAAAAAAATTCATAGTTGCATAGTCTTGTGTAAAGGTTGTGTGGATGCTCTGATTGTTAGTCCATTCTTCATCCCGTACAGGTCATTCTTGTCCATCTGATTCAACAGTTGGACTAGGTGCCACTAGAACACCATATCTTGGCCATGATACTCTACCAAAATAATCTCTATACCCCTATCTTCGTCAACTCTACCAGAATAATTACTAGATTGCTATTCGTCGCCCTAAAATTTAAATTTATCGCCCTAAAATGCATCAAATTGACACTTTTACCCTCTGGCCTCAATTTCTAATCAAAACCTTAAACAAACAATTTCATACCCTGCCCATCCGCCGCCGAGCTCCGCTGTCCTCCGGACGCTATTGCCGCTGTCGGATCCTTCTCCCCGACAATTGCCCACCTCAACCCGACCGCAGCCGATGCTCTGCTTCTAGCCGGAGGAGGAAGAAGACAGAGAAAAAGGAGGCCGCCTCCCACCTCCTGCTGTTGCCGGATTCTTCACTCCGACCCACAACCCTCCTTTTGTCAAGAGTTGGTAGAAACCTTCTCTCCAACAACATAATCCCATTTCGAGTGAGAAACACCTTGAATTAACTTAATTTTCGTTCTTCTTAGCTTACTTCATGCGGTTTAGAGTTAGAGTTTCCAATTGAAATCAACTGAACACAATCCATACAATTTTTCAGAAAGAGTTCCAAACTGACCCCTTAAGAATTGAAATGACGAGCAACAATTCGTTCCAGTAAAATCAGCCATACACGTAAAGCCGAGGGATCGTGATTTCTAGAAAGAAAGGCGTCGAAGAACATTCTAGGGAGAAATCTATCACCATCCCACTCAATAATACCGGCAACCAGGTATTACAAATATTAAACTAAGGATATTTGAGTCATTTCGATAAAATTTAGGGCGACGAATAAGGTATTTTAGGGCGACGAATAGCAATGCCCAATAATTATTGTGTTGCCCATAAACCCCACCACCATATTCGCCCACATCTTCTCAAATATATATGAACAAGTTGGAGTTTGTTTATCATTATAAATCTCAACATCATATAAATCCTATCATTGTTGGTCTACAACTGTTTCTTCATAGACAAGTGCATATCTATTGTATAGTGACAACTGGTATGACATCCGGCGTACACTTCGATAGACAACCCAGGGGTGGAGTCATGGGCACTTAGGGGTGTCCCGGTACACACCTAAATTTTGGAAGATCGATTCTCCAACTCCTAGTGGTAATTTACGTATAGACAAAAAAATTGTAATTAATAGTCTGGGACACCCTGAAATTTGAAAGAGCGATTATACTACTCTCGTTTGTAGTTTGTGTATGGGAATATAAGTGGTAGTTTGAGTAATTCAAATCCGGGACACTAATATTACTAATAAATACAATTTCCATTAGACTACAACTTTTTTGTTGTTATATTCTAAACACTGTGTAATAGCAAAACCCTATTCTCTATCTTTAATTATTTTCAAAATATGACAATTAATTTAATTACAAGCTACCATTAATTTGTATTGATTTTATGGCTGTACGACAAGTGTTGAAAGTGTTTTTTCAGTTTTGAATTACATCATGAACAAATTTAGAAGTCAAATATGAATGATGCTCTAGTAGGATATAATGAGACAATTTGTTGAGCAGTGTAGACACCAAGTGTATTTTATAATTTTTTAAAATATGAAAATACATCATTGACTTTTTTAACTTGTATGATTTGGGTATTTTCTTATTTAAGAATAATATAATTTTTTTTATTAATTATTAGTTATTTAATTTTTATTTTAATTTATTTTTTAATGAGAACACCCTTATGTATAATTCTTAGGTCTACCACTGAGACAACCCCCTATGCAACAGTACCGTTCCTGACAAATATTGGAAATATCATGCCAAGTTAATGTGTTCTCAACCCTAATAGTACTTGATTCACCATCTTTATTATAATCAATACTATTCTAGAATTTTGTCATTCGACCGTTCCACCGAGTCAATAAGTCAGAATTTTCGGAAACTATATTAATTCCTTCCCATTCTTGCAATTTTATTACATATAAGTCCTTAACAACACAATCTAACAGCCAAGATTCATTCAAAATTATAATCCAAAACTCAACCCACATTCAAACCCTAATGTGACCGTTGGATGCTATGACACCGCTCGATCCAACGACGCGCAACCTCTATGAACACAGACTCCATATTGTGTTGCGAGCACAATAATGGGATTGACTTTCAGCCTCTCATATAAAGCAATGTCGCAAGTTTCTAACCCACAATTAAGCAAGGGAGCAATCATGCTAGTGAGCATAATGGCGACCTAGCCCGTCCTTCAAAAATGATGACTAGAAAAATTCAAAATGGGCAAATGGTTAGAGGGTTCATACATTCTTCATATGTACTGCTTGCCATCTCTTTTACCAACAAACTGTCCATCACCAAAAACCGACCCCCACTAGACGTGTCGAACCTCGACGGAAACCCCCCCAAAAGAAAGATGGGTTTTGTCATTTCTGGGAACTAGAAGACTGCGACGATATGTTCGATCTGATTTGGGAGGCGATCCGCAGCTATAAATAAGATGCTGTTGGAAGCAAAGTATGTCTCCTCTATTATTCTCATGCATGCTTTTCACAGACTATACATTATCTCCGTCGGCCGAAAAACTGACTTGATACAGACTTGGCAAAAAGATATGCTGCTGTCTTTTGTCTTTGCTTTATTTGGTTCCATTTCCAAACTTCGTTTTGTTCTAAGGTGCAATGCATTTTGTTTGACTGGGTTCTATTAGCAAGGTTGTGAAATTGTACCGGAGGTTGTACCGAGAAAGATAGTGGTGGGATACTTTGTTAGAAGCTGTGGTTTTACGATCGAATAATTAATATAGTATGTTTTCACAAACACTGCTCATTAGGTAGGGCTTACGCGGTTCCATGCTCCAAACATTTCCCCATAATTTCCTTTCATTTTCCAACCAATGATGAGTGATGATGGGAGTAACTATTTTCTTAATTGTCATATTACCCACTTAACCATCAATTATGAGAGCTGCTCGGCACGGAGCACACTTTTGACTGATATGTAAGGCAAGTGACCAACGTTGAAATGACAGTTTAATGTTAGTGACCACTGATGCAATTAAAATTTTCTAATGACAAACATGAAACAAAATAGCAATAAACCTAGAGAAGTGTCATTTAACCCAACTTTTTATAAAGCAATTCTAAAACTTCTTACTTCTTATTTTTAAAAAGTTTTTATAAAGAGGAAAATTCTGAATAAACAAACCTTTTGCTTCCTAAACTATGGTCTATGGCGATCAGTCTTTCCATTCCAAATGGTCACAGAACAACTGGGCCTTTCAATATTTCTTTACCAGTTTGAAATTATTAGTAGGCAACGTTCTCTTCAGCCCATTTATATATTGGCCCGGTCATGAAAACTGGTAACAAATAAGCCCATTCCATCTTCTCTGTTAACCATCTTTTTAAAATTTCGACAAAATACACTTGTGTAGCCAAAACTTTGACGATTTGGTCAAATATAGCCACTTTTGGCGAAATACCAAAATTAGTCACTTCCGTCTAATTCTTTAACGGTGTGAGTTAACATACTGACTGGACTAACAGCAATGAGTGACGTGACATATTTTATTAAAAAATAATGTTAGGTGGAAAATAATCAAAATTTATCCTTTCTTTAAATCTAATTAAATAAAAATAATAAAAAAAGTAATCACCTCTCGTAAAAATAAAAACAATAAATCATTAAATTAAAACAATAAAAAATTATAATGGTTATCCTCTTCTGCAATCACCACCACCGCCTGTTCACCATCATCTGCAATCACCAACAAGCCGATCCAGTTTTAACCCAAAACCTAAAAAGACCCAATTCTCTCCCAAAACATCATCATTTAACTCAAATTACATTAAAAAAGGTACAAATAAACTTAAAACACACAATTTTATAGATCTCATACTTTCAATTCTTCTGTGCAAACTTGGCAACGAATCCTTCCCCTTTTTCCATCTCTTTCTCCTATCAGTATGCCAATCAAACCAAATAACAATACCCACCATTTCGTGAGCGCTAACGGAGGGTGGGTGTGAGGCGACTTGCGAAGATGAGAGGTAGAGAGAGTGGGATGTGGGATTGCGAAGCCGAGCGGTAAGATGAAGATATGAAGACTTTACCTCAAAGCTGAGACGGGAGACCTCATCGTTCGAGACGCCAATGGAGATGGAAAGAGAGATCGATCGAGACTGGATGTTCGCCCCTCAGGGGAAGGAGGAACGACTACTCTGTATCTTTATTTCTCTCTATGACTTCTCATCTCCGCCGCCGCCGCCTCGTAGAAGCCTGACGAGCCTCATCTGTTTCCGCCGCTCGAGCAACTCTTCTTACGATTCCCGAGTTTAATCGAGCAGTCGATGTCCTCAATCACGATAATCGACTTTGAGCTCGTCTTCATAAGAATCTTCCTGAGCTCGGAATTGTTGTGGACCTTCGTCAATTCTAGGTCGTACCCTAAGAAATTGGCCATGGCGGTATCCTCGCTTCGAGGCCCTCCCCGTCCGCTAGTAAAACTCTTGTCCTGCCCTTCCGCGAAATCCTCAGATCTCGTATGATTTCGAGCTTCTGCGCTGGATGGCGAGGGTCTCTGTTTCATTGGCGGATGCGGGAGAAGAAGTAGCCATGTTTCGTTGGGAGTGGGGTCGATGGAGATGAAGGGAGAATTGATTCACTACAAGAAATAAGTGCTTTAGCGACAGCCTTTTAATGACAGCCAGTCTGGCCGTCCATAAATGCGGTACTTTCAACGGAAGCCTCTGCCCGTCAATTGACCGTAGGCATCCGTGGCTGTGATAATATACACCCGTCACCAACGGTGTACAAGCAGAAGTCTTTTTTATTGAGTCATTTTCTTTTTTAATGTTTTAGCCTTATTATTTTTGTCTTTTTCGGTAATTATTTTTGTCCTTTTATATTTACACATTCAAATTATTTATAAAAAACTATTTTAATGAAAAAGTGAAAAAATTATAGGTCATCGTGACTTCAGTCCTTTCATTACTTCAAGAAGACCAAGTCCTTAGACGAATCCCTAAAAACCAAAACGAAAAACACAAATCAGCTTTCTCTTCGTCCGGAATCGAGCGCCTTGAGGCTACGACCATTGATCGAGCTTTCAGCATTGTCTTCTCTGCCTCAATGAGCAGCGACCTCAGTTCTCCCTTCCTTCTCTAAAGATCTAGTGAAACCAGAACACGTGAAAGAAGAGACGGCGACAACTAATTGTAATACGAGTGATTTTGTGAGAGGAAGAAGGTGGAGCGAGCCGCGTGACTGGTTGGAGTTCAGCAGCGCCGTCGGAATAGGAGCTCGGAGCCTTATGACGATTTAGATCCTAAAAATTTTGACTTGTCTGTGTTCCCGGTCAGTCACTCCCTCTGCGTATTACTATATATCTACTAGAGTCTAGAGTCATGGGCACATATTGCTATCCAGCTCTTACATACATGGCCACAGATAAATCCCTACATACATGATAAGAGTAAATTCAGGGTAATGATAAAAGTCACTTTTATGCCTATTGAGATAGTATTAGGCTAATTGTGTTAAATAAACAAGCTGGCACCAGGTGGTCATTTTGGGTTGGTTTTTGGTCTTGACCAAGTCTGCATTTGCATCAGTGGCAATAACTTGCTTGTATTCTTTCCCCCTTAATTAGTTCATTTATAAGTTACTAAGTGGTGCTCTGTTTCAGGCAGTTCTGAAGGTGAATGAGTTGCACATGGATTTCCTATTGATATCACAAATTTTGGTGGAAATAACATATGCTGTAAGTGGTTTATTTTGGTAGGTACAGGGATCCCAATCAAACTTTGACTATCTTTGTTAAGTAGTTAAGGAGTAGAATACCATGTTATAGTTTGCATATACCGCCATGTTTAACTATAGTCTACTGCACTAATATGGTCTAATTATATCAATTCCCCTTGCAGATCACTCACTGTAGACTTAATAACTGCATTGGCTGTTGATTGTAGGAGAAGCTTTCAATAAAATATACCCTATCAGGTTACATTTAGTTGATTAATTGATGACCTTGCCACCAGGTGTGCTCTCTGCATCCTTTGTGTCTTGTTATCCTTTTTTCGGTTCAACTTCTGGATATATCAAATTCATGTTGCTGAGATGACTGTGAAATTAACAACTAATTTATCAACTCTTGCAGATCCTCTTAAGTGAGTTGGTAAGAAGGGATAAGGTAGCCGGGATATTCCCTGAAGCAAAAGTGGACCTTTTTGTGAAGGTGAGTGAGTTAAACAACAGAAGGGTGATTAAGTGAGTTAAACTTCATGGATTAGCACTAACTATGAATCAGATTACTTTTGATTTTGGCAACAGCCATCAAGGGTATTCAAAGAAGCCTCAATACATACTACACTCTGGAATAATACAAATGTAATTGTGTAGGGATCCAATAGGAATTAACCCTACCGGCTCACCCGTCTCTAACACTTTGTTAGAGATGGCAACGGGTCGGGTTGGGGATGGATTGTGCATATTCATTACCCTACCAATATAGTTTGGATTTTACCCATACTCATAGCCACATAAGGATTGGATAGAAAATCTAAATCATGTCGATACCTGTTCGAGTTTCGGATATTCACAGCTATCCATTGATAGTAATATAACGGGATGGATTGCGTTGCTAACCCTGTATATAGTAAGTACCATACTAACTTCTATAACAACCATTAGATTGGACTAACAATCCTACGATTAGAATTAATTGAAGGATAATATAGTAATATACATTGAAACCCTAATATAAAAGGTGTCCACTCATCTTCCCAACCCTCACAGCCGCCTCACTCCCCCTCTTTCTCACATCTCTCTCTGGACCAAAATGAACGGCCGCACTTCCTCCATCGATCTCCAAAGACGCCACTGCCATGGATTTCGACCTGCTGTTGCATCCATAATAGCGTCTCCTCCGTCCTTCTCCGATGCTTCGAGTCGTCACCGTTTGTGTGGGGAATCCTCCATTGGTAGAGGTGTTGATGTGGGGATCTTTCATCCGCCTATGATTTGAGTCGTCACCGCTGGTTGATGTGTAGCTAAAAATCGAATCAAAGCTTGTTGTCCGGCGGGATGTGCGTGTCATCTTCCGAGTTTGCATTAGAAAGTTTGGAGAAGATGGAGACGAGACCGGCGAAGACGATGGGGGAATCCACCATCAAGAGAGCGGCGACGGGAGAGGGAAGCAGCGGAAGTGGGTGAGGGGAAGCGGCAGTGATGCTGGTTGCAGATCCAAGATCTTTTAGGGAATCGGTTGGCTTGATATTGGCCAAAGTGATTTTGGTAGTCATTTTGGGAAGCGGCCAAAGTGATTTTTGTTGTTTTAGTTTTGATTTTGGTAGTAGTGATTTTATATGTATTATTAGTATTTTTAATAATAATGAGTAGTGATATTTGGTAACTATTAGTAATGTTTTTATAGTGATATTTGTCAAATTGTTTTATTCTCTTCATTTTCAGAAATGTTTTTATAAAAGTCATCCATTCCCACTAATTAAAAATGCTACTGATGATAATAAAATCACTACAAGAAATTTAAAATAACTGCTATAACCATTAAAATCACTATTGAGATTTTACTGATATTAGTAGTAGTACTTTTTTAACCATTATTTTTTTTAAACAGAATATCTACTAGAGAGAGAAAATTAATATTTTAAAATTTTATTTTTTCATTAATTTTTTCAAATTGCTTAATATATCATCCACTACAATCCACCGTGTGATTCACTTTAAATTAATGGACAGTGATGAGAGTGGTTAGCACGGTGCTAATCACTATGCAGTTAGCACTGTAACCTCTCCCTAATATAACTCCAACCAACATGTTAACATTCACAAGTATACTCACATTACACAAGAGGAAAAATACGAAAAATAAATCACTGAAATGAAGAAATTAATTTAACCAACACAATTTCATTAAATTATTATATTAGTATGGTAAATATAAAATATGTCAAGAAAATAATGATCAACTTTAGACAAAAGCACATAAGAATGTGTATAATCGGGCGGGTTCGGGTCGGATAATGAGAAAATCATGCCCACTCATTACCTACAAAATTTGGTTTCGGGGTTCACCCATACCCACTAAAAAACCTTCAAAATTGGGTTTGACCCTATCCGATTAGATCACATTCCGGCGGATATCTATGGTTGCAGATATTTTTATCATCTCTACACTTTGTCCTACTATATACAAAATACCAGCGTTCAAAAAGCCACGCATAGGCGCACACCTAGGCTTGAAAAGGCACAAGGCGCTGGTTGAACGACATGCTTTGGCTAAAAGTGAAAACGCTAATTGCGCCTAACAACTATTAATCACCACCTAATAGGAGAGAAAGCGGGCCTAGGCGGGATTAATTGGCCTTAGCGTGGTCATCAATCCTGGATTTCAAGACGCTGCGTTTAGTTTCCCCCATCAACCATCTTCCTCTTCAGAATTGATCGACGCCAAAATGCCAATTCTCTCTTCGTCTTCCTCCATCCGTCGACTCTAGGTTAGAGACGAAAATCCCTAGCTGCTGCGAGCTGCTCGTTCCTTCTCCTTCTCGCCGCTCGGCCGCGGGTGGGAGAAGCTCATCGCCTCAGGGGTAATTATCATAAATAGTTACAAATTTATTCACTTTGTACAAATCAGTCACAAACCTTTAATTTTGCACGTTTAATTAACATATGTTTGTACTACTAACAAAAAGGTAATTCCGTCCATCTACATCCAAAAAACCGTTACTATCGTCCGATCAGCACGCCACGTCATTTAAATATTAATACAAATTAATAACCAAACCAAAGTGAACTGATAACCCAACTGAAAACCCTAATATTATATCAACCACCCGAATTCTTAGACTATTAGACACAAAAATACTCTTGTCACTTTCAGAGGGATTCAGCTCCCAAAACTCTTCCAACTCTATGGTGTTAACGACACCGGTTTCCCACCATGCCTCGTCGGCGGCAACAAGCGGTTCTCCGCCTTCAAAGAGCCCACCAAATATGTTGAGAATATAAAGGTAAACAGACAATTTGGAGGTTTTTAAGTCCAAACTTGTTGAGTGCCATCTGAGAAGATTTCTTCTTTCATGCTCCCAAATCCGCACAATTAGCATAACCCAAAGACCTAACCTTTTTCCACTATTCCAAGAAACCAGAATCGGAAGAGGAAAACTGAACAAATGGGATTGCCAAGAGCTCTACCTAGCTTCGCCCATCAAGATTTTGGCCCGACCCAAGAACTCTGTCGCTTCGGACGCCGCTAGATCAGCTGAGTCGGAAATGCCGATCAACTCTATCTTACCCCTGGGAGAAAAGGGCGAGGCGTTTTATTTAGTAAACAGCGATCAACTCTATTGGTTCCCCACCCTGCCCCTCTGGCGACGGCGAGCAGTTCTCGAAACTGAATCGCCCTAGGAGAAAAGGGCGAGGTGTGTTGCTGTCTTTAAGAATTCGGGCGGGTGGGTATAGAATTAGGGTTTTCGGTTGGGTTATCAGTTTAATTTGGTTTGGTTATTAATTTTTTATCAATAATTTAAATGACGTGGCGTGCTGACTGGATGAAAGTAACGATTTTTATGATGGAGATGGACGGAATTACTTTTTTGTTATTAGTCCAAACATATGTTACTGAAACGTGCAAAATTAAAGATTTGTTATCGTTTTGTACAAAGTGAATAGTTTTGTGACCATTTATGATAATTACGCCATCGCTCAGACGCAGCAAGGAGAAGCTCCTCCGTTCGTCCCTCACCTCTGTAAGTGCAATTAAGTGCCCCTGTTCTGAAACTCCATTATGTTCTAAAGCTCAACTCTTTTCTATTGTGATTTCTGAAGCTCCGCCGCCGCCCAGAGAAGCTCATCGGTCGCCTCTTTTCTGTTCTGAAGTTCGGACTTAGGATACCAGCCGTCCGGAGAACTTCGTTGCTCGCCTTCCCCTGTTCTTTAAGCTCCTCTGTTCTGCTATGTTCTCTTGAAAAGATCGTCGGAGGTGGCAGTGGTGGATTCAGAAAATTTTCACAGGGGTGTCCTCTTCAAAAATTAAATTAAATTATATAATAAATTAAATAATTCGTATATTAAAAATATCATACTTGTATAAGTTGTATAAATTTTTTATTAAATAATAAATTAAAATTCATATTTTGAAAAAAAAAAAAAACTCCGTGTCTGCACTGTTCAAAAAAAAATCTACATATCCTACTAGACAATGCTTCACGAACTTATCACATATTTGGTTTCGAACCTTGTTCTTAATGTAGCTCAAAGTAGAAAAGACTCTTTCAACACTTATCGTGTAACCATAAAATCAATTCAAAATTAAGGGTAGCGTGTACGTAGTTTAATTATTAGGTATTGAAAATAGTTGGGGATAAAGAAATAGCGTTTTACTGTTGCATGATGTTTAAAATAGAATAACAAATGAGTAGCAACATAATTAGAATATGTTTGATAATAGTAGTGTCCTAGGTTGGAATAACACGGACTACCACTTATATTTTGTTAATCATAAGCAAATTATTATCGAGGGTAGGATAATCATTTTTCAAATGTTAGGGTATCCCGGATTACCAATTATATTTTGTATACTCCTACGAAACTACTACCGGAGGTTGGATAATCGTTTTCCCAAATTTTAGGGGTGTCTCGGGACACCCCTAGAGGCCCATGTATCCGCCCCTGGGAGGTGGGGAAACCAAAAGTCCAAAATAAACCTGAATGGAACCAGGTCTTTGTTGTTGTGAAAATGGACGATCACCCCATCATATTGATTTGAGTACGGTATTGGGTGGTGACTGGTCAATTCTAAAATTGTTTTCTTTGTTTTGCACCTCGTTAATGATAATAATGAGATGTGTATGTTTAGAATATTTAGTTTTTAGTTGATTGATGGATCCTTTCATCATTTGAAATTTGATTGTTTTTTGTTATGTTAAGTACTACTTTTAATAACTAGGTGTTTCTAATTTTATATGAACTTGGATCATATGAAGTATTCCAGAAAACGGAAAATATTTGTGAATTTTTTCCATTTTGCTCTGAACGCCTAGGCGCGTCTAAACTACGCTTAATAGGGCAAGACACAAGTCAAGAGCCGAGCGCTCGCCTTACGCCTAGCACCTTTTTGAACCTTGCAAAATACACATCTATTGTATATTTTAAATCTACAAAATATATGATAGTGCAGTTGGCACTCTTGCTTTCATAAATAAATGTATGTGGAACAATTTGCAAACCATTCACGACTATTATAGTTGAACATGAAGGGAAATTCGCGAATTAACAAATGCGGAGAAAGAAAACAACCAATTGTTTAACTAGAGAAAGGCGTACATACGGTGGGCGAGAGTGAAGAAGCACACACACTCTGCATGGTTCAAATCAATATGCAGATGATATGTGCTAATCACCAGCGATCGACTACGACTATGTAGAATCCAGGGTCTTTAGGCATTGTGATCTCAACCAGATTAAGAATTCAAGAGTAGATTGGAAGAGAAAGTTCAATGACATTATTCAAATGATCACTAATCTACAGATTGTTTGGATTGGTACGGTATAATTTTTTATATTAGAATCTTGAAAGAGATATGGTGCCTTCTACCGTACCCCGGGTGAAATCCGGGGTACCGCATACATTGAGTATGAAAAGGCCATCTAGACCTCGAATTAGCAGGATTTTTGGGCATGATACTATACCCTAACACTTAATGAGTGAACCCTAGGTCCTAATTATCTAAATCATAAACTATAAACTCTAAGATGGTGCCTTCATTTTTTTGCCTATATTTGGACGAATCATAACCGTCGATTATTATTTCTAATTAAATTGATCTTGGGGTATAAGATTTAGAGAATTAAGGCCTAGATTTCGATCTTTAAGGGTTAGAGTATAGGGGTCGTTTGCTTCAAGGATTTGGTACATGGATTTGGTACCAAAAAACCAACTATCAAGGATTTAGGTACAATCCGTTGTTTGCTTGCATCTTTTTTGGAGACCAAATCCGTGGGGCCCACGGATTTTAAGGGTCCAAATCCGTGGACCCCACGGACTTACAAATCCCACATGTTGATGTGGGATTTGGAATATGACATAAATCCTTGATGACATTTTACTCATATACCCTCATGCACTTTTAATATTTCAAGGTTGCCCTCAAATTTAACTATACATTATAATTAACAATAAATGAATAATATAAACGTTCAATTAATGTGCAAACATGAGTTAGATTTTTTATATCATTTCTTGTGTTCTAGTTTTCTTTGACCTTTTCATGGAACGTGTAATTCTTTGTTCTCCCAATTCTAATATATGTTGTTATACGTTACTTTTGAAAAGGAGGACAAAGAATTGGTAATTGATTATGTTACGTCAAAAGTTAAAACGGAATTTTCTCGTTTATTATTATTGTCCATGTGGCAACATTATGCTTATTAGTATGTATTGTCCTTGTTTTGTGTACATATCATAAACATGTCAAACATATAGAAAATGATAGTAAGGTAGTTTTGAAGTTTTGTCCTTGTTTTGTGTACATATCATAAACATACCAAACATATAGAAAAGGGAAGTAATGTAATTTTTGACTTCAAGTAGTAAATCCCACACCTTTAAATCCATGATAAAAACATCCCAACAAACAAAGGATTGTTACAAATCCATGATTCCTCAAATCCTTGATAAATCCTTGGGTTTTTAAATTACAAAACCCTCGTTTATAAATCCATGAAGCAAACGACCCCATAGTATCATGTCCGAAAGATCAGTCAATTCAAGTTCTGGATAGTGTTTTCTTACTCAAGGTATGCGGCACCCCGGATTTCGCCTGGGGTACGGTAGAACTCCCCATACATATATATATATATATATATATATATATATATATATATGGTGACTACTTCGGCGCACTCACAAAAATGAGTGCGTTCAGTGCACCCAACTCAAAAACTAGTCTTAAGGAGTCGGATTTTGAATTTTAATTTGTAGAATTAGTATAATATGATGATATAACATATAATAACAACTAATTAGCGGATTACCCTAAGCCCTAGACCTCCAATTTTGAGTTCTATCACTAAACCCCAAACTGTAAACCCTAACCCTAACCCTAGATCTTTAAACTCTAAATCCTTCAAATTAAAGCAAATCTTTCATGGTTTTTGTGAAAATTCATGTGCGTTATTGTTCATCACATCATAAGTGATGATTGACATCATTTTGACATAAATCTCATGTTTTAAATGACGATTATGAAGCGAGTGCACTGAATGCACCCAAAAAAGTGAGTGCACCGAAGACGCCCCATACATACATATATATATATATATATATGGTGGCGTATTCGGTGCACCCACTTTTTTGGGTGCACTCAGTGCAGCCGCCTCATAATTGTCATTCTGAGCATGCGATTCATGCCAAAACGTTATCAATTGTTGCTTATGATATTATGGACAAGAAGCACATGAATTAAAAAAAATTATTCAAAATTTACTTTAATTTGAAGGGTTTAGGATTTAGGGATTTAGGGTTATGGTTTAGGTTTACAATTTGGGATTTTGGGTTGGGATTCAAAATTGAAGGTTAATGGGTTAGTAGCGGTGACAATCGGTTTCTCGGTATCTGGTTTAACCGATAACCGGCTTGTTTTGGTTGTCGGCGTCCACAAATGGAGCCTCGGTATACCGAACCCCCTGCTTGTAAATACCGGCAGTTATCCGGTTAAACCGGATACCGGGAAGTAAGGGAAACTCGCGGAATAAGGGGTCTAATCCGACGAAGTCACCCACCCCATTCAAATTCGATAGACCCAACGTCAACACCAACTCTCATCCCTGTCGAGTTTCTCCCTTGGCCCCTTCCCTGTCCAACGTCAACTCTGTCGGCGCCTCTCCGCGACGCCGCCTTCCCTCTCCGACTCCCTCATCCCCAGTCGTCGACGACGAACATCTCTTCCCTCAATTATCTTGGCTGATATCCCTATCGCGGTGGTTCTCAGTCCGTCGAGATTCCAGATCCAGAGCCGCCACCGGGAATCGATACTGCCCACATGCCGCCAGCGCCTCGCCCTCCATCTCGATTCCAGATCCAGAGCCGCCGCCGAGACATGACGATGCCCTATCTCTTTCATCTTCAACCTAGGTCACTGAATCTTCAGATCGGCGCCACTCTCACTTCCTCTCGATTCCAGATCTGCCAGCAAAAGGAGAACAACACCGCAACACCAACTCGATCTACATGGCCAATCCCTGCCTGATTTCGTCACAATCTCATTATTGAATGGTTCGGCTTCCATCGTGTGGGGTGATGGTACTGATGAACTTGATGTCGAAGATTCCCTGATGAGTCGGCGGCGATGTATCTCTGGTCGGCCTCCCGACGACAACAACCAATATGGCAGCAGCAACCAATTCGATTTGGGAGGAGTGGTCGTAGATGCAGAAGATTCACTTGGGGAAGAAGGTGAAGATAGAGAAAGAAGAAAGGTTGCCGGGTTTCGGATAACCGGAAACAATAACCATTACCGGAAATTTGGTAAGCCGGTTAACCGGCAATTCCTCGGTACTGGTACTGACCGATTACCAGGCATAGGGGTTAGGGTAATAGATTAATTTGTTATAATTCTATGTCATATCATCATATTAGATTGAGAGTACTAATTAAAGTTCAAAATTTGATGTACTATTGACACTTTTACAGTGCACCCAAAAAAGTGAGTGCGACGAAGTAGCCACCATATATATATGGTGGCTACTTCAGTGCATCTACTTTTTTTAGTGCACTGAATGCACTCATTTTTTTGTTTAATTAAAAACATCTAACGATTCACAATAATTGAATAAATTTATATTTAAGTATTAACTAATAAAGAATATGATATTTACTCATCTTTGCTTGATTGGTTTACTCATCTCTTCCTGCATGCCTATACGTGGGAGGTGTGGAAAGAGAGAAATGACAAGTCGTTCAATAACACAAAGCATACATGGCAGACCATTTTTGTCAAGATTGGAAGGAATCTCCTAAGAAGGATCTTGGCAGCGGGTTTGATCAACGAGCACAACAGCAAGGAATGGTTAAGGCTTTTGTTCCAGGCTTGTCCTGCCGAGCAGGAATCCAGGAATGAAGTCTTTAGTTGAGTTGCAGACTATGGGGTTTGTTTGTTTGAGGCCTTCTGTGTTTGTGTTAGGCTGGGGTTCTTTAATCGGTAACTGAAAGGAATATTTTTTTCCAGTGACCAGTAGGGGTGGCCTATTCCACCAAGCTGGTGTCTTGCTCTCTTTTCTTTCCTTTTTGTTCCTGTTCCCCTGTGATGTCTCGTTTGGGTTCAATTCTTGTGAACCTTTGAACTTTTTTGTTCTTTTCTCCATTAATATAACTAGCACAGGGCCCGACCCATTGGCCGGAAGAATTTTGTCGAGAAATACGGTATATAATAATGGATATAATAGATAATTTGAAATGCATGAAATGATTGTTTTCTATCTTAGTTATGCACATAACATTTTGTCGAGAAATACGGTATATAATAATGGATATAATAGATAATTTGAAATGCATGAAATGATTGTTTTCTATCTTAGTTATGCACATAACATTTTTGAAAATGATCCACCAATGAATAATGTGTTTAGACTTCCATGAAAAGAAAAAAAAGTATCATATAAGCATTACATATAATTATTGAATGAAAGAAAGAATATAACTAATTGTCATTCATTACTTAATTAAACCATATAGTTGAATATTATAGTTGCTTCTCATAATAAATACATAATCAACCTTTAGGATGAAAGGAAATGTCTCATAGAGTTTAGTATGTCCTTTAAGTTTTTCCCAGTAGAGAATATTCTTTTTTACCATATTGTTGGTAATGAATATGAAGTTTCTTTATTTCAAATATATAAGACATAATGCTGAGTTGTCGCTAATACACTACAAAAAAGACTGGCAGAAGTGACCAAAACCTTCTGACGACACTGTTTTTTCATTGGAAATAACTGTTTTTGTGACAAAACTTTCTTTGTATCATAAAAACTTATGTTATTTCCAACCAATAGCTAAATTCATCAGCAAAGTTAAAACACTTCCTCAGTAAAGATGAATTTCACATCTATGAGGAAGGTAGTGTCATTTTTATTGACGATATTTTTATTTTCGTCAATAATTTATAACATTACTAACTGTCGTAAGCAAACCGTCAGAAATAATCATTGTTTGTGACGCCCAAAAAAAATGGCATATGTGTCATAACGTTTTTCCGACGCAAAAACATTTACTCGGTAAAGAATTGTTTGGTATAGTTTTATTTGCGAGGATTTTAGTAACTTCTCATAAAAATCATTATTTTTCGACGGTGATAATACGGATGTCAATAAAAGATGGTTGGAACAAACGCACACTACATGTAGCTGCCCGACCCATCTTAATGACCACATATTTTCCATCGTTAATGAATAGTTGGTTTGAAACTTGCGGGAAAAAAACAATATTAGTGAGCAAACTTGTATTCGTCAATAATATTGAAAACAATCGTCAAAAGTCAAACATTACTGACGAATTATGATGTCGTGGGAAACATGTTTTTGAAATGTACCCTTTTTACCCTTCGGTTGCTTTTTACGAATGTGAAAATGGATTTGTTGGAAATAATTGGTCAGAAATATTGTTTTCCGAAACAGTAGCTTAGTGGATTTCATAATGGAAAACAACTTTAAAAAATAAGTCATTGATGAAACTCGAACCCAAGACCACATGTTTGCAAAGGAGCTTGCTAACTAGTTACACTACACACAATTTATGTACGTTTTTTTAATTTTTTGTATCTAATTATCGTGTAACAGAATCATAACTGCAGAGAACTCTCTGTCTTCTGCAGATCAGTTCAATGTTCTTCCTCCCTTGCAATAAACGAAGGCTGGTTCTTCCCCTGCAGACCATTTGATTCCGAAATTACAGGAAAAGGGAACGATACAATGGCATCAAAACTGGTTCAATGAATGGAGTATGTTCATCCGATCAGTTTCTCTTAATTGCGGCAAAAGGGTTAAAGGGGAAGAAGAAATCAATCCACCATGACCCAAATTCGCCATAAACCACTATAAAATCCCAGTAAGAACAAATGGATTATGATTATGTAGTTTTCCCAATCTGAAAGAGTAAAGAAAACGATTCGGAGTTGCGTTTCCCACCGCCAAACTTCACCGCCGATTGAGAATCTGGAACGACGCGAGGGAAGGGGGGGTCCGGCGATCGGCGCGGCTGCGGTTTGAGGACGGAAGGTAAGCAGTTCCTCCGCTCTTCAAAACGACCACGTCTTTGGTTTTTTTTTATGAATCTGTTTAATTATTTTTTTCCAGCTTAACTTTATTATTTTTTTGGTGTCTATATTGTATTTAGTTGTACGCAGCACTTAACTTTTTTTTTCCCAAACGTTATTATCTTTATTAATTTATTATTTTATTGGGTAAAGGAAGACTATTAATTTAGTATTTGTTTGAATGTGATTACACGGATTAAAGTGGAAGTAGTTAAGTTTCCTAGTTGTACATCGATTAAAATTATATTGAATGTAAATTAAAAATTCGTTTCTTTGTTTTATATATGAAAGCTTAGTGAAGGTATAATGTATAAACATTTGATTTAATTTGGATTATTTTTATTTCTACATCGACAATTTAATTTTCCTGAATAATTAAGTTAGTTTTACTTTTTTGTAATATTTTCTAATAACATAAATTTCCTACATATATCTATAGGTATGGAACCTATCGACAAAGCTTGGATACAATTGAAGAATCGGGCATGCACACAGTACATTACAGGAGTGGAGAAATTCGCGAAGTATGCAACAGACCATGATAAAGACGATGATGGACTAATAAGGTGTCCTTGCGTGGAATGTGGTAATGTGCGTAGAATGACAGTGAACCAGGTAGAAGGACATCTTCTTTATAAAGGAATGAGAACCGACTACACTAAATGGATTTACCATGGCGAGGTTGACGAAGATGAAGAAGATGAAGGTCCAGAATTGGGTGATGATAACATGGAAATAGACAATGGAGATGATGGCGATATGGGTGAAGATAACGATATGGGCGAAGATGATATGCTTGGTGTTCTGAACGACCTCATGGCTCCATTAGCGAATCCGGAAGAACCTAATGCCCAAGCTCAAAATTTGTACAAACTTTTCGGAGAGGCCCAATCACCGTTGTACGAGGGATGTGCTTTGAATGTGTCAAGATTGTCATTCGTCACAAAGCTTATGAAAATCAAGTGGGAGAATAACTGGAGTAACAATTCATTTACCCAGTTGGTCAAGTATATCCGGGCTGTATTTCCTATGGCGCAATCACTTCCGAAGAATTACTATGAAGCAAAGCAGCTTATGAAAGCTCTTGGGCTACACTACGAAGAAATAGATGCATGTGAGGACGATTGCGTCCTATACTACGCCGAGCTGGCAGATGCGACATCTTGCCCCACGTGCAAAAAATCAAGGTGGAAGAAAGTTTATAAGGATAAGAAGGGCAGAGATAAGAAAATTCCGTGCAAAATTATATGGTATTTTCCCATCAAACCACGGCTACAAAGATTATTCATGTCTCAAAAAATGCTGAAGATATGGTATGGCATGCTCTAAATCGCTCGAAAGATGGGATCATGAGGCACCCATGTGACGGAGAGGGTTGGACTGCTTTGGACGAGTTTGACCCATCTTTTGGTTTTGAACCCCGCAACGTTCGTTTGGGACTAGCGACTGATGGTTTCAACCCATTCGGCAATATGAACAACAAGCACAACACGTGGCCGGTCCTTCTATTCCCGTATAATCTTCCTCCTTGGAAGTGCATGAAGAATCCTTTCACCTTCCTAACTTTGCTCATTCCTGGCCCAAAAGCTCCGGGTAATAGTATTGATGTTTTTTTGAGACCTGTTATTGATGATTTGAAGGCTTTGTGGAATGAAGGCTTGTTAACTTATGATGCATTCAAGAAGGAGAACTTCATCATGAGAGCTGCATTGTTGTGGACCATCAACGATTTTCCGGCTTACGCTAATTAATCTTTCTGGATGGAGTACGAAAGGTAAATTAGCTTGTCCATCGTGTGCAGGGGAAACAGC